ATGTGCTCGAGGAAGCTCTCCCTGGCCCGGCCGGGTTCACCACCTTTAAAGGATGGGAACACGTCAGAGATACTACGTTCAACGGTGCCATGGTCCACCTTCGGCAAGAAGACCAGCAGGTCAGCAGACATGTTCGAGGCTCACTCGGAAGAAATGACACCTGTCATCGAAGAGAAGAGAAACCCTTGGCAGCCTACAAAGCTTGCCCAAGTCAGCGCAACTTACAGATCCTTCGGGCCGTCCGTTGCAAAGTGCAGCAGAGCGCCAGGCAATGTGCCAACAACTATTGGCTCCAGCTCTGCTCTCAGATACAGACTGCAGCAGATACAGGCAATGTAAAGGGGATGTATGACGGCATCAAGCAGGCCCTCGGCCCAATCCAGAAGACCATTCCTCCCTCCTCCCCCCACCCCTGAAATCTGCCACTCTTCTTCAGTTATCTTCAGATGATTTCGGGGCTTTAGTGTCCCCGCGGCCCGGTCCTCGACCAGGCCTCCACCCCCAGGAAGCAGCCCGTGACAGCTGACTAACACCCAGGTACCTATTTACTGCTAGGTAACAGGGGCATAGGGTGAAAGAAACTCTGCCCATTGTTTCTCGCCGGCGCCCGAGATCAAACCCGGGACCACAGGATCACAGTCCAGCATGCTGTTCGCTCGGTCGATCGGCTCCCTCACAGGGGAGGTGATTCAAGACCAGACAAGGCAGCTGAAGCGCTGGGTCGAGCACTACTCTGAGCTATACGCCAGGGAGAATGTGGTCACTGAAGACGCCATTGAGTGCCTGCCTGTGTTAATGGAGCTCGACAGCGAACAGACCCTCAAAGAACTCAGCGAGGCCCCTAGACTTCCTTGCTTCTGGCAAAGCTCCTGGAAAAGACAGCATTCCTGCTGAGACCTTGAAGTGTTGCAGAGGTAACTTGCTCATGGAGCTGCATGAAATCCTCTGCCTCTGCTGGGAAGGAGAGGTGCCGCAGGACATGAGGGACGCCAACATCGTCAACCTCTTCAGTATTGTCGGAAAGCTGTTTGCTCGAGTCACATTGAAGAGGCTCTTAAGTACTTGCAGAGAGAGTCTATTCAGAATCACAGTGCGGATTCCGAGCTAACAGGTCCACCATCGACATGGTCTTTTCACCTCAGACAACTGCTGGACAACTGCTGGACAAATGCTGGACAGATGCAGCCACTCTTCGTAGCCTTCATAGATCTGACAAAGGCCTTCGACCTTGTCAGCAGGAATGGCCTGTTCAAGATCCTTCCCAAGATCAAATGCCTACCTAGGCTCCTCAGCATCATCAGATCTTTCCTCAAGAACATGAAGGGCACCATGGTCTTTGATGTCTTAACATCAGACGCCTTCGTCATCCGAAGTGGAGTAAAGCAGGGCTGCGTCCTGGCTCTAACCCTATTCGGGATTTTCTTCGCAGTTATGCTGCAGCACGCTTTTGGATCTGCCACAGAAGGCATATACCTCCAGACCAGGTCGGATGGAAAGCTCTTTAATAACTGTGCTGCGCCGAGTTTATTGTGAAATTTCCCCGGTGCACATGAAATAAAAGTGTTCCCAAAAATTATTTTTTTCTTCGTAAAATGATAAATTCCCTTCCCTGAACATGTCCATGTAAAAATAAATACCAAATTCCACTTACTTTGGCTGTGGGGACGTGGACAAGGTGCGCTGTGACGTCATCAGGGCCTGGTCACCCGTGCATGACTCGCCCAGACACGGTCGCGCAGGCCATTCAAGCACCAAGTGTTGCCACAAATATATTTTCAACTATTTGTGTTATATATTTCCAATGCGGTTTTATTTGTTTGTTTTATATCGTATATGATGCATATTTGTGTCCTTTACAATATGTATACAGTAGAACGTTCATAATGTTCCCTGGAACTGTGATGCATGAGTCAGTAATGTGTCCACAATAAATGTTTATTGTCACAATATTACCTGTTAAAAATTCACTAAAATTACAATATGTACAGTTTCACACACTATTTACGCAGTAACACACTGTATTACACACTCAGTACTTCGGAAGTGAGTAATAATCAACGAAGTACCCCATGGTACACAGCGCGACTTCGCTCTCAGTGCACCAGGTACAGATAAATTTTCGCTTCCTGTTTCTTCATTCAGTGTGCTTGCAAATAACGCACTCACGTACACCCTTGGCTTTAGTATTTGTAGGTTGTATGTAGCCAAGCTTGTAAAGCATAAGGTAGTATTGAAAAGATTATAGGAAAAGATCAATTTGTAAGGTAGTCTTGAAAAGATCGCTTTGTATGGTCCCACATAGGAAGAGATTCCGCTTACCTCAAGAGTGTCCGTCAGTCAGAAAGAGATTCGGCTAGCCTCAAAGAGTGTCCGTCAGTCAGAAAGAGATTCAGCTAGCCTCAAAGAGTGTCCGTCAGTTAGGAAGAGATTCAGGTATTCTTGAAAATATTTATGGAAAACACCACCATGGAAGCCGCTAACACTGTTCATCTATGCTATTTGTATCAGATGCATCATCACTGAACGCAGAAAACGATTCATCTGTGTATCATCTAAATAAATTGTAGATTGCATAGGATTGCAAGGGTGACGCTCAGAGTTACAACTGGATACGCTCGCTGTATCGTCCTCATAGGTGCTGTATCACTTGCATCTGACCTTTGTGTTAGGTCCTTATTACGCCTAACTTCACCAATGTTATGACCCTTATGTTCTTCAAACAATAAGGTTTGAATTTCACCGACAGAGCGTTATCTTTCAACACCGCGTCAGACAGGTGTTTGGGAGCCAAAGGCGCGTGCGCCACCCATGGTTGCTCATTCAGTACTAACCCAGCCAGCAGCCCTAGAGCATTTTGGGAATTTTTTCCAAGATGGCTGCCTCTCACCGGAGGTCCTAAGAGTTCATTTCGTACACAACCAACCTCATACACATTTAGAATTGGTACCGAAAAATCCAAAATAGTTTTCTCGGTTGGTGCAGTTTCCCGCCGACCGAGAATACTCTGTTGGTGCAGTTAAATGGTTAACCTCGCCAGGCTGAGAGCCAAGACAAAGATTCGGTTGAGGTGTCTGCATGACTTCCTTTTTGCTGATGACGCAGCAGTCACTGCCCACTCAGCCAAAGACCTCCAACGGCCCATGTCCCGCTTCAGCGAGGCCTGTCAGGCTTTCGGACTCACCATCAGCCTGAAGAAAACTCGGGTCATTGGACAATAATTGGACTCCCCACCTGACATCAGCATCTCCGATTACAAATTGGAAATCGCTCACGACTTCGTGTCCCTGGGCTCCACAATGTCTGACTCCCTCTCTCTCTTGATACGGAGCTAAACAAATGCATCAGTAAGGCATCTACTACCATGTCTAGACTGACAAAGAAAGTGTGGGCCAACAATAAGCTGACTGAGTGTACAAAGATCCAGGTTTACAGAGCCTGTGTTCTGAGCACTCTCCTATATGACAGTGAGTCTTTGACACTCTGTGCCTGTCAGGAAAGACAGCTGAATGCCTACCACATGCTCTGCCTCCGACACATCTTGGACATCACCTGGCAGGACAAGGTGATAAACAACAGCTTCCTGGGGAGAGCTAGAATCACCAGCATGTACACAATGCTGAAGCAGAGACGAATGCGCTGGCTCGGGCACGTGGTGCGAATGGGCGACGGCAGGATCCCCAAGAATCTCCTGTATGTAAAGCTGATGCAGGGAAAGCATCCAACAGGCAAATCTCAGCTACGGTACATAGACGTGTGCAAGAGGGACCTGAAAGCCATAGACGTCGATCTTGCTAAGTGGGAAACATTGGTCGCAGACCATTCAGCCTGGGGGCAATCTGTTCAGAGAGGTCTCTCCAAGTTTGAGGAGTCAGTTGCCAAGAAATCAGAGGCAAAGAGACAGAGAAGGATAACCGGTAGCTAGTAAGACAAACCAGAATCAGACTTCGTTTGTGTTCAATGTAGGATGGACTACCATTCTCTGATTGGCCTCTTCAGTCACACCAGATGCTGCACCAGGATTGACAACCAGAGTGCAACTCCATAGTCACCTGAGACTGAAGAATGCTTACTACTGGATGGAAAGATGGGACACCATGAGCATAGCACTCATCCTGTAACTACACTATAAGTAATTACACTTAGATAATTACTCAAAGAAACAGGGTAAACCCCTCAGTGAATATGTAACTTGAATTGTTTCTCAACATCAGCTGATACAGAATATATGTAATTGGTCAGTTCTTGAGCTGAGCCGGCAATATGACTGGCTAAATGATAAGACGAACACTGTTACCTTCCCTCTGATTGGTCAATCAAAAAACCAGCATTGAATGTAAACGTCATTTTCTGGGTGAGCCCCAGAGGTACCTATTTTACTGCTAGGTAACAGGGGCATAGGGTGAAAGAAACTCTGCCCATTGTTTCTCACCGGCGCCTGGAATCGAACTCGGGACCACAGGATCACAAGTCCAGCGTGCTGTCCGCTCGGCTGACCAGCTCTCATGCCCATCATGTTCGATGCTCGGACGCGAGGGTTGTTCGTAGAGTGCGATAGTGTTATTAATAGGGTATTAAAAGTATCAACACAAGACAGAACACAAAACAATGGGTTTAAATTGGATAAGTTTAGATTTAGAAAAGACTTGGGTAAATACTGGTTCGGTAACAGGGTTGTTGATTTGTGGAACCAATTACCACGTAACGTGGTGGAGGTGGGGTCCTTTGGTTGATTCAAACGTGGGTTGGACATGTATATGAGTGGGATTGGGTGGTTATATATAGGAGCTGCCTCGTATGGGCCAATAGGCCTTCTGCAGTTACCTTTGTTCTTATGTTCACAGATGTTAATTTTTTGGTCCCAAATGTTCTGGATTAAAGTTGCTCTACCATACAGTACTGTATGTATACATTACATGTATACTGTACAGTATTTGTATATAGTGTTGAAATTATGACTTGCATATTTGCCTGTTTTCTAAAGTTAATATACTATATTTCAGGTCAGACAGTCATCCAAAGATACAGTTGAAGACTGGGAAATTCCTGTAAATGAAATATTAATTGGCCACCGCATAGGGTCTGGGTCTTTTGGAACAGTTTATCGGGGTCACTGGCATGGTCCTGTCGCCGTGAAAACTTTGAATGTCCGTGACCCCACACCAGCACAGTATTCTGCCTTCAAGAATGAAGTATCAGTCCTTAAGAAAACAAGGTAACAAAGGGGAAATCTTTTATGGCAAGAAAACTTTTTGTGTAGATGTCATTTTCATTACATGATTTACTTTGTTTAATGTGACTTTATATTTTCTTTTATAGTTTGAGTTGTACTGCTAACTTGTAAAAATAGTCTATAATAAGGATTTTCATCCCCAGGATATAGCAAAATTTCATGTATTGCTCTGAATGTATTAGTATCTGGAGCTTACCTTAATGCATAAGAATGTTAATTGTGGAGAAATTAGTAAGGACATGAACTCATCATATGAAAATACAACTTAATATAACAATTTATTAATAGTTTAACCCAAAACAGCAGCTAGGAAAAAAATGGTCATACCTGCCTATGAGCAAAGAATCAAAAAATTCTAAATAACCAGCATTAAATGTATTGAAAAGCCAGTTTCTCAGTGAGCCCCGGAGACTCCCATCACTGATTTACTGCCATACTACTAGGTGCCATCAGTCACAGAGTTCTTATTGGCCTAACTGGGACCACTAGCTAGAACCTGGCCCTCTCAAAGAGGTGCAGGGATCAGTTGCAATATGAACACCTTACATTTAAAGTTAATCATGTCTGCCACCACCAGGCAAGCACTCAGGAAGTCAACAAAACAAAACAAACTACAGGTACTGCATAGTTAAAACAAGACCAAAGGCTCAAAATATGCAAAACACACAAATTACAAAAATTAAAACAAACTACAAAAATTGTGTGAAACTAGCGCAAGCTAGTTTGCCCCATCTCAACCTCATTAGTGGGGAGGAGATAGGCAGACCGGTTTAGCCGGCCTGCTCCACCCTTCAGTTTGTATGGTGATGGAACACACCAACTCCCTGGAGGTAGGGGTTGTCAGGAAGCCTCTGAGGCTCACCCAGAAATTGGCGGTTCATTACATTCAACATTGGTTTTCTGGAAGGATGCCCTTTAGGCTCCCTAAAACTAACTACCCTCAGAGGACTAAAAGAGCACTTACCAGGGAGAAGGCAGCACCGCAGGTATCAAAGCAAAGACAAGACAGTTGACAATGATGCACGACACAAGGTCACACAGGACTGCCTAGGACCAGGAACATTCACAAGATACCTGGCCGCCAAGACCGCCAAGACACGCTGGCTAAGACCAGGAACATTCACAAGATACCTGGCCGCCAAGACCGCCAAGACACGCTGGCTAGGACCAGGAACATTCACAAGATACCTGGCCGCCAAGACCGCCAAGACACGCTGGCTAGACTAGCCACTGCCCTGTGCTACCTGACATAGTGTGGGTTGAGGTGAGGCACCACCTTACACATAATGAACAGTAGTACTGTATATAGTAAGATTCAAAACTCCTGCAGGTACACTGGGCTCACATTCTGTTCAAGACTCCAGTAAATAGACGGCATCTTGAAAAAAAATCATCTGCATCCCTCATGGTAGTGATAGCCTCAGTAATGCTAGAGCAAACAAGGCTGGTGCATGCAGCTCCAGCTCACACCCCAGCTGCACAAACCAGGATCACAGCACCATTTTAATAATGATGAATAAAATAAGTAACTGCAATTATTTGGCTTCAATAGTTTTGTAGATGATCCAGAGAGTAATAAAAATAATGTACAAAGTTCAGATATTAGTGAACACAATGCTAATTATGATGTTCACATCAGGAGGCAGACATTCACAGCACACAGTAGAGATATGTAAATCTATGTATCATCCGACGTGACCTCATTTTCCTTTACAAAATAATTTGGACACCCGGGTTCGGGTGTCTGAACCTGGAAGTTTCTTTGCCACCTTCGCCTCTTTCAGCAGATTGGCCCAGTCTTTTACGAGACTGGTTCGCTCTTCTCCTTGAGTCTTCGCGTTTGGTATTTTTGACTCGAGTTTATCAGGTGATCAGGTGACTTCCTTGATGGTGTCCCACCACATACAAAATTCTCAGGAGAATTGACAGGGTGGACAAGGATGGATTATTTAACACGGGTGGCACATGACCAAGGGGACACAGGTGGAACCGAGTACCCAAATGAGCCACAGAGACATTAGAAAGAACTTTTTCAGTGTCAGAGTAGTTAGTAAATGGAATACACTAAGAAGTGATGTGGTGGAGGCTGACTCCATACACAGTTTCAAATGTAGATATGACAGCCCAGTAGGCTCAGGAATTGACAGTTGAGAGGAGGGACCAAAGCGCCAGAGCTCAACCCCCATAAGCACAATTAGGTGAGGTGAGTACCTGCGAGCTTCATCTCGGCAGCAGTATGAAGTTTCCTGGAGGTCCTTCCGTTTTCTTTCTACTCTTTTTTGTTGTTCTTCTCTTTCGGTTCGGGTGGTGTTGTCCTTTCTCTCTTGTGTTTCAGGACCATCATCGTATGCCAAATACTGTCGCCTTGTATCCTGTGGTGCTGGCAGAACCACTGCAGCTTGCTTTTGGTATAGATGTAACTGTTTCACAAGCTATCTCGTACGTTTTTTCACCTCCAGCCTGCTCATGCACCCCTGGAGCCGTCCTGGTCCTTGGACAAAGTGCTCTCCTATTTGTCTTCTCGGAATGTTGTGGCCCCTTCGGTTCAAGGTTGTTTTTATAAGGCTCTTTTTTTTTTCCTGTTGTCATTGGCCTCTGAGGGTCAGGTTGCAAAGCTTCATGCTCTTCTCTGGCACAGGTGTTTCTGCTCTTTTGGTTGTGTTGATAGGTTTGTTTGTCTGCAGTCGTCTCCTTTTCTGGCGAAGAACGAGACTGCTGCTATCCGCAAGGGTCCTTGGGTTGTTGATGCTTAGTTGATCAGGCCGGTGGTGCATCATGTGTTGTGTCCGGTTGCGGCCCTCCACTGTTATTTGCGTGCCATGGCTTCTGTGTCCTGGGACGCACTTTGGGTTGATCTGGTTTCCCTTTTTTTTTCCTGTTGGCGGGTATGCGTCTTTCAGGTCGTCCGCAGGGTTATTATGTCAAGCCAGCCTGTGGTCTATCCCCGTGCCCATGACGTCTGTAAGTTTGCTGCTCTTGCTGTCGTTTTGGTAACATGTCCTGACTGACATTCGGGCACAGGGTTTATGGCAGTTGAACAGGGTCCTGGCTGCACACTGTCTTATTAACATTCCTGAGCCAAGTCAGACCTGTGTCGCTTTGGGTCGGCGGCTGCAGACTGTCTCAACTTCGCATTGAGATATGGAGCATCGACTGCCTCCCGGGTAAGTTCCCTTTCTTTTTCATCTTTGGTGAAGTAGCTCCGGGGAGTTATAGGGGCTCCCCCCAGAAAGCCAGTGTTGAATGTAATATAACACCATTTTCTGGGTGAGTCCCGGAAGCTCCCCGGCAATCCTCCCTCCCTCTGGTCGGCGGTTTTCGCGTATTTTGATATCCAGCCTCAGAACTGCAGGGTGGATCGCTGGCGCGGGGTCTGGGACTCCCCTTTCCCCCTCTCAGGGAGGGGGGAGCTGCACAGACATGTGGCGCGTCTCGTGTGACGTCATGCTTGTTTGCTTGTTTTCAATTGGGGAGTTCTGTCCACGTTTTTGTCTTATTTTCGTTGTTTTTAACCAGGATAGGGGTTTTGTTTTGGGGCACTTACCTTTCTGGGTGCCTGTCCTGGTCGATGACAGATATAGAATGCTCCAAAATCACATGTGCATTTCTATAGGCCATTGCTCATTGTGCCTATCTGAGGGGGGCCAGGTTCTGGCTCGTGGTCCCCGGTAGGCCTAGAACTTCACCCTCATCGACTGATGCCAAAGTTACGGATATCCATATCAGCTTGGATAGCTCCGGGAGCCTCTGGGAATCACCAGGAAATGGCGTTTCATTACATTCAACGCTGGTTTTTTCACCTCCGACCTGCTCATGCGCTGCCTGAACCTTGTTGGTCCTTGGAGCGGGTTCTTTCTTCTCCTCAATTTGTTGTGGTCCCTTCGGTTGGTGACTGTTTCCATAAGGCGTTGTTTTTTGTTGGCTTTGGCTTCTGGGGCTCGGGTTAAGGAGCTTCATGTTGTCCTCCGGTGCCGAGGGTATTGTCCTTTTGGTCCAGGGGGTCATTTTGTCCGTTTGCAGCCTTCTCCATCTTTCTGGCGAATAATGAGACAGCGGGCTTCCAAAGGGATCCTCTTCTGGTGGAGGCTTGGTTGGTTAGGCGGGGGGTGCATCATGTGTTATGTCTGATGTGGCTTTAGGCTGTTACCTGCGGGCCACTGGTTTTGTGTCGGTGATGCTCTTTGTTGTGGATTCAGTTTCCCTGGTTCCCTGTTCCAGGGCTCATGTCCCAGGTTGTCTGCAGTGTCATAAAATCTAGCCAGCCTGCGGTCTACCCTTATGCCTATGAGGTGAGTAGGTATGCGGCGTTTGCTGTGGTTTTTGGTAATACAGTATGTTTGAGTCGTCATTCAGGCACTTGGGTTATGATGGCCGAACAGGGTCCTGGCCGCCAGGTACCTCGTGAACCTTCCGAGCCTTCAGGGTTCTATGTCGCCTGTTCTTTGGTTCGCCAGTTGCTGCCGTCGGTGCCTTCTTTGCCTTAAGATGCGCAGTTTGCTGCATCCCAGGTAAGTCCCTATTATTCCTTCTCTGTTGGTAGATAGCTTCAGGGACTAGAAGGGGCTACCCCCAGAGAGCCAGCATTAAATGTACCAAAATACCCTTTTCTGGGGGGTAGCCCCGAAGGCTCCCTGACACCCTCCCTCCCTCTGGTTGGCAGTTTTTTCGTCAGGATTCAAACTGAGGGGTGGACAGTGCCTGAGCCAGGGGGACCCCCCCCTCACCTTCCCCACTTTGCACAGGGGGAAGGGGGGCTCCGCTAACAAGTGGGAGTACTAGTTGCAAGTTTCTTCATTTCTCTCTCTTTACAGGGAGTTCTTCGCTTTTTCAGGTGGTAGATTGCATTTTACCAGCTTGTTTCTTTTGGAGTGTCTATCTGTTTGGGCTACTGCCCCAGTCGATGGTGGAATATGACAAGACTTTACATGTAGGGCTCTCCTACACCATTGCTCTCTGCACCTCTCCGAGGGGGCCAGGTTCTG